ACAAAGCATCTTGCTTTCTAATGGATGGAAGAGTCGGTAGAAGCTGGTGCACTGATAGTGAGGCAGCCACGTTTGCTTTAATACAAGGCACGGCTACGTTTTCCACCAAGGGAATACTTGGTAGCATTCTCTTTACTGAAGACTTGAGTCTTGTTGGCGCTTTCTTCACCTTCGATGAGATGGACGGCAGACTTAACTTTTCCGTGGGCCGTAGGCTTGGTAACGTCTGTTGACTACTTGGTAGCGCCTTTAATTATGACAGTAGGTTGGATGTTCGGCAAGGTAAGTTTCTTCTCAGCGGTACTCTTCATCCTCAGTTTTCGATATATCGCGGTGTTTTTCTCCTCTTCTGTACTACTTGAATAGAGAAAATCTCCGTACTGTCGCATTTTTTGGTTTTCAGGACACCGATCGCGAAAATTCGCGCAATAATCTATGATTTTGAACAGAACCAAACTCGCGAACAGTCTCTGTGTTCAGCACTGAAGAAAATGAGTTCATCTCTCACTCTTTGTTGCGTAAGAATTTCGTAATAGTGACGAACGGCGCGCGCTCTCGAAATCTCATGGAGGAGAATAGTATGTGTATTTTTAATGAAAAAACGAATGAAAAAAGGTCTTATTTCTTCTACAAACTATCAAGTCTCGTATTTTGCAGTTCCTCTTTTGTGTTGCTGACGCTTTCCTGTAAGTGTTCAGTCACTTAGAGAGTGCATACTTGACCTTTCAATCGATTTCACTGAAGCCCTTTGCTAACAGGCATCTCTTCTGCGCACGCTGTTCTCTACACTTGCATGTTATGTGATAAATAAAGTTCTAACAGAAAGAATAAAATCACTGATTTCCAAAAAAAAAAAATCATGTCTCGATGATCGCTGTGGTAAACTGTTGTGGAATAACTTAGTCGGAACCAAGGTTGCTTTGACTCTTCTGATCTCCCGAGATTTTTTTACAGATTGCATGAACGAATAAGCAAGGAATTAATATCTGCGCCAATTCTCAAGTTGAATGAAGATCCTTTACAAGCCGAATCAAGTCATCTTAGGAGACCATTAATGCAAAACGGAAGATCTAGAAACATTCTTACGTGCATACTTTCATACATACATACATACATACATACATACATACATACATACATACGTACGTACGTACGTACGTACATGCATACATTTTATTGAACACATCCCCGTCTGGGGCTTTTCAGTGAACAATTACATAATTTACATACTTGGTACTATATATACAAAACGAACTATTAACACGCTGTATACAATATAAATTACTTATAACTTTAAAATAGAATGCTTATTTAAATAAAGAGTCATTCAGGAGATACCTTTTCAAAGCTCTCTTAAAAGGAACTGGTTTTTCATATAGTTTCAATCTTGGGTCAAGTTTATTCCAGATGGCTACACTTCTTCTTGCGATTTATATGCAACAACTTCTAACATATTCTCTCTCTCTGTCCCTATTCATTTTTTGGTGATAATTCAGAAATTGAATGACTTATGATAAAGTATTTTTTGAACCCGTGTCGCATGGAAATCTGTTGTCTAGAAGAGACCGCTGGTTCTTCAACCAATCGCACTATTAAGCTCTTATTTCAACAGGTACCTCAGCGAAAAGGGTGCCAATATTAACACACACGTTTTCACTTCAATTTTATTCAGTTAAACAGTTGTGAGATACTAATTGTGTAGAAACATTTATCTCTCCAAAATTCCAAAACAGGTATGATAAAGAAAAATGAAAATTTATCTGTTAAGTGAGTTTCTTGGTACAAAGCTAGGTTTGGTTCCCCAGAGAGAGCTAGAGGCTCAGAGTTTCCGCTTTTTAATTTAGCTGCATGTTGGAGCAGAGAGTTCATGGCGAGAAGGTCACAGACACTAGTTTCAAAAGAAATTCTTATGGACAAATTTCATAAGCCGACTATGGAAAACATTTGCGAAGAAAACAGTTGATTAGATAGATTGTAAGACATCTTTTATTAATGATTTGTACTTATTAATTCTCTTTGTGTTGCCACGCAATTGATGGCGTTTGTCGAATGTTTTTCCTGGCCGCATTGTTTCGAAATCAATGTTTTTTCATGTTTTAAGTTTATACGATGAGAAATTTCAAAGGACGAGTTTCTTATCATATTCCAAACCAACATGGGAGCTTCGTCGACGTGTTGAAGGATAAATTTTGCTGTTTGAACTCGAGACAGGTGCTATTGTACATTCTTTCAAATTTTGCATAAAAAATTATAATTAATGGATCTCGTGACATACGACGCATTCGATAAAGAAAAGCAGCGAAGCTTGAACAAGGAAACGTAAACAGCAGACGACTCGTAATGGCCATACAGTATAACATTTAAGCAATAATCAGCTGTTGTGCTTTGTTACCGAGGAAGCAGTCGATCGCTGGACAGAGTTCCCTGTATCTAAGAGGTAACTACAGAACATTTGGCTAGGATAACAGTTTAATTGGAGAATCCGCTTAGATTTTGGCATTGTCTTAAACCGAAAGCTTCTCAACAGAACACTATGTAATGATAATATGTAGTAATGATATGTTTACTGTAGATCTGTTAAAACGTGAATATTCACGATTGAATTTTTCATTCGTCCAATCTAAAGAGTTTGATGGGTGAGTTCTTCACTTTTAACGTCCATTTTGCTCGCTAGAAACACTGTGCAGACTGGCTGCATCAAACTAATCTGAGGATACGTAAGCAAAAATTTTCTCGCACATGTGTTATATTGCTGCAGTCTTCTAAACCATTTGGAAGGATATAAGCGTTGACTTGATAAATACCCCCCACCAAAAAGTTTAGGATAAAGAATGGTCGTGAAAATGTAAGAAGTTTATAGAAATCGAAAGACAGCCACGCCGCGTCAGTCATCAATTCCTGAAGTGAAGAAAAAAATAGTAATGGTGTACATTTAATTTGCTTTGAAAGTAAAATTCAAAATTATTGCAAATATAGAAATGGACAAGTAACTGAAATAGCACTAGTTATAAGATATTATAAAAAAATTCATCACTAGTTCTAGCACCGTGTAGCTATTATGTTAGAGCCCTACAAAGATATTGTATATTTCATCAAACTGCTAAAATAAGGACCAATTTCTCTAACATTTGAGATTCCAGCAGATGTAAAAGGTAAAAAAATGACGTCTTCGCTGCCAAATCAGCCGAGTATATTAATAAAATTCGTGACTTTGCGCGAAAAATTCTTAAATTAACTTTTATTTCAACGCGACAACTTGTGTTCCACCAATTTGTTCGACATGAATAAGTGCGGTAGTTTTCAAACAGTTCTTTGGTTTCAATAGCCATTGTTAATAGCCATTGTTTTCAATCGGAAAATGATATATCCAAATTAACGAGACAATTTACAAAAAGATAATGACAAACAGGGGACCGTTTTAATAACAGAAGCAATAATCTTACCGGCTTTGGTGAACCATAGTTTGGGCACAAAATGAAAATACAGATACTACAGGTCAACAAATAAGCCGGGAGATAAGAGCACATGGAGCGGACTCAGTTAAAAGAGTGAAAATTATCGAGCAGTCGAACATTAACCAGAAAATTTGAAGTATTTCAGATAATTTAACACATGAACATTTGTGCTATGAAGTAGATTTTTTGGAAAGAGATGGCAATTTTCGTTACTCGATTCAAATGTGATACAATGAAATATATGAAGTTCATATATTTTGTACTGCGGTATTAGATACATATGATGCACGATCCTCGCAGTAGATAGCGCTATTTAAGCAATAGCGAAAATCAGACCTGAAAAAATATCAGGCCTGTACGGGAGTCGAACCACTGACCTCTGCGATACTAGTGCAGCGCTCTACCAATTGAGCTAACAAGCCAACTGGGAGCAGGCCGTTAAGTTGATTCGTAATAAACCCGTGAAAGTGATAAATGAGATACAATGAAATATATGAAGTTCATATATTTTGTACTGCGGTATTAGATACATATGATGCACGATCCTCGCAGTAGATAGCGCTATTTAAGCAATAGCGAAAATCAGACCTGAAAAAAATCAGGCCTGTACCGAATCAACTTAACGGCCTGCTCCCAGTTGGCTTGTTAGCTCAATTGGTAGAGCGCTGCACTAGTATCGCAGAGGTCAGTGGTTCGAATCCCGTACAGGCCTGATTTTTTTCAGGTCTGATTTTCGCTATTGCTTAAATAGCGCTATCTACTGCGAGGATCGTGCATCATATGTATCTAATACCGCAGTACAAAATATATGAACTTCATATATTTCATTGTATCTCATTTATCACTTTCACGGGTTTATTACGAATCAACTTAACGGCCTGCTCCCAGTTGGCTTGTTAGCTCAATTGGTAGAGCGCTGCACTAGTATCGCAGAGGTCAGTGGTTCGAATCCCGTACAGGCCTGATTTTTTTCAGGTCTGATTTTCGCTATTGCTTAAATAGCGCTATCTACTGCGAGGATCGTGCATCATATGTATCTAATACCGCAGTACAAAATATATGAACTTCATATATTTCATTGTATCTCATTTATCACTTTCACGGGTTTATTACGAATCAACTTAACGGCCTGCTCCCAGTTGGCTTGTTAGCTCAATTGGTAGAGCGCTGCACTAGTATTGCAGAGGTCAGTGGTTCGAATCCCGTACAGGCCTGATTTTTTTTCAGGTCTGATTTTCGCTATTGCTTAATAGCGCTACCTACTGCGAGGATCGTGCATCATACGATTCAAATGTGTTCGCCATGAACGTTTTGGCACTAACTAACAGGTACTGAATGGAAGAAGTGATATTTTCTACTCTTCGAAAACCTGGAAATTTATCACGATTCCTTTCTTCTCACAGGTGAAGCTTTAACAGAAAGGACAACAATTACTTCGCAGCTTATTATCAAAGGACTATACTAGCAACTAGCCTTAAACCCACATCAAGACAACATCGCAAACATGGCCGCTTCCCTAACATCAAGGTAGAAATGAATAGATTATGCTAGTAAATCCAGCAAAAGTTGTTTGACAATACACCCAAAAGTTGCTCTAAAGTTGCTCAAAAGTTTAAAAGTTGCCACCCAAATTTAAAAAAGTTTCTTACTTTTGTCACTTTGTTCTAGATTACTACTCAAAACATGACGTTGTAAGTGTAATTTAACATCATTTGTTGTGATCAATATAATCTTTATGCTCAACGTAACTAATAATAGAAAGTATTCTCTAATGACGTTTTGGATAGCCTTTCACGCGATTCCAAGTACATGTTGTGTTTCCTTTCCCTGAGGACGAGGTCCAGTTACCGCTTCCTCGTTGTTTGTATTTGCCTTCGTTGACTTGAATTTTGCGTTTTTTAGAAATTGAAGCTTTTGCGAGACTACTAAGAGTTGCCCTTGCGGCTATGGTAACCTCAATAGGGTCAATATCTGTATTATTTTCATTTTCTTAGTCAGACATTTCAGCTTCTAATTGTGATGCCTCGCACTGCTGCAAATACCAAGATGGCGGGCGGGAAGCTCTATTGTTGAAGCAAATAACCGCTGGATGTAAGCGCCCGTTTGGGTCGCTGCTGTCCAGTTCGTGGGCGTATATGTTTTTTTTTATATAAATTATTTGTAAGAGGGTGCGACATCCTTAGTTTTGACCAGTTTTAGTTAAAAAACCTTTTAATAAAGACCTTTTTGATGGTTTGGTCAGTTTTTAACTATTTGTTGACTCAAAGGTTGCCAAGGAAGGCAAAATTTTCTTTAGGTTGCTGACAGTTGCTCGAGGTACAAAAAGTTGCTGAAAACGCTAAAAGTTGCTCGAAAGTTGCCGCGCACAAACTAGTTCTGCCTACCATTTCCGACAAAGTGAAAAGAACATTGAAAGTTTTTGAATGAAACTGACTTGTTCTAGGCTCTTGCAATGCAGGAGATAAGAAAAGGAGATAAAAGTAAAGTGTGAGCACTTTAATGACTGACTTAAACACGAGGCAAGTTCTTGTGCAACAGAAATCCAACCTTCAAGTCACAGCTTAGACAAAAACTTGAACAAGTTGATGTGAGTGTGCTTCGCCATGTTTGAATTATCGATTGTGTTCCATGTATTTTCAGTTCACTGCATCGCTATTTCCACCCTCGGCTACCTCCTACCTCCGTTTGGCCTGACTCTCTCAATCAAGCCGCTCAGATTCGTACCCAGGTCCTCTAGAACGAGCTCGACAACGTTAGACTTATTTACCACTTTGCCGTCTTTACTAAATTTCATACGACCAACAATGATGACGGCTATTACGTCTCTTCCCGCCATAAAACGAAAAAAACAGTACGTACGTGTGTTTTATAACAGGATCAAAAGGGTTTGAATTCACAACTTAGATGTACTCTGTGCAAGAACTATTGAGTTGCGATTCCTGATCATTAATCTCCATGACAACTAATGCCCAGATGAAGGAAATCCTTTTGGATTATTGTTAAAATTTAGTGTCTAAAAATAGCGATGTATTCCTTTGGGCTGAAAAGTTGTTTTCTTTAGGAGCAGAGCTAAATGAAAAACTCCTGCGGTGGACTTTGTTCTGTCCTGGGTAGGGAAATACTGAAATTAGTTTTTGTGTGTATAGCGATTAGCAATGAATTGATGTCGATTGTTTTCAGTGGCGATTTTTACATGCGCAATTTACATTTCGTTTACACGCAGACGACTATAGAGAGCAAAATTCAAATGATTCGTTTTAAATTTACCGGCTATATATAGAAGACAAGTCTTCCATTAGACTTACAATGTCAAACCAAAGTTATAAATGATTTAGAAGGCTTGAAACGCCAATCGCAAGTGTTGTTTTTATTTCCAATGCAGAGGGGGTTGGATGTTTTGAACGGAACTATTTAATATATTATAAAGACATAATTCATTAAGGGCAGGTGTACTTGACGTAGAAAGCTGCATCTGAATTTTAAGTTTTTGACATTAAGATTTTAATTGACTTCTGGCAAACGAAGTAGACAGGTTTATATTCCGCGCGCGACGCACGGACTACAAGGTGAGTAATTTTCCTCTAGCTACGTGCGTTTCAAAGAAACTCTGAAAGCGGGAAAATTTTGCGAGGTTACTTCTTTTAAAGAACGAATACGAGCTTTTAACCTTTATGCTTTTTATATTGTTATATGTTCTTGCCCATATTATGGTCCATCGATGCTCTTTCACCAGTTTCTCGTTCGTTCTTTTTGTCTCAATTTTTTAGCCGAGACCATGACAAACGAACGGTTGAATTTTTAGCTCTCGCCGGCAATAGAACGATTATTTTTTTAATGCGCGTACGATTTCCGTGAAATCTTAAGAAAAAAACACTGAATCTAATCATTATCGGCCGACAGTTTGTTTCTATAGCACTTTTTAATCAACAGGAAGAACACCGATAAAATTTGTTTAATGTTGCCTGGAAACCCAAGCATGTTGGATTAATTGTACCTAAAAGGAGTCTAACTTCATCGACTGGAGTATGTAGGTTTGCGAGACATAATCTTCCGTTTCTCAGAAACGAAAAAACAGTTTTTAAGATTCATTCAGGAGAACGTTAATGAAACATGAATCAAATTTTACAAGATTGTGTTAGAACATGAATTCAGTTCGCTGGATTACACAGACTGGCTAATAAGTTCGATTAAAGTTTTTACGCTGACAAGAATGTGAAATGTCGAACTATTCCAAAATAAGTGCTTCAAAGAGAATTCAGCGACAAATGCTGCTCCAAAATTTCTGATATAGATGGAACGAAATTCAATTTTCTATGACCATATGAAACCAAAGCATATTCCAGCGTTAGACTACGAAAGTTGAAGTAAGTTCATTACTGAAAAATAAACACTATTTTTCAAAGCGATACAAACGGTTATACTAAAAACAACTTTCGTAACACCGGATTGATTGTATCTATGTTATGTGTTACTAATTTTATCCACAATAAAAAAAAGTTGAAATCTCTCGCAAATCTTTTCGAGGTAATAAGAGACAAAACGATAACCAACTAATTTAAGATTTCCATTTTTCGTATTGTTTGGTTTTCTTCTTTGAATTAAAAGTAAAAATTTGCTGAGCGGGTATTTTGGGTTTTTTTAGGTCAAGAAATGTAAATAAATTGTACTCCGCACGACTGAAATAGAGGTGAAAAAGATAATTGGCTTATGCTAGCCTACAGATCCTAAAAATTCACCAGCATGAAGCGCTTTGGGAACTCCTCCATTAATTGAACAAGCTATTCTTAATAGTAAACCACTTGAAAGTAATTCATGAACAGCACCTACGCCGAAATGTTCGGCAAATAATCTTGTACTTCCTTGCTCTTTCTTACGTTCATTTGCATAGGAGGTCCTGTCTAAAGGAAATTGAGCGCAAAGTAAATCCCCTTAACTAACAATGTATGCATTTGTCCTTTAACAGACCACTTTACGCCTAGTCGCTGGACTCGGTCGTGCGGTCGTGTTAATTAAAAAACTGCGCAAACTTAGAAGCGAATAAAGTTCTGTTTTTAGAATCAACCGTGATCCAACATACATTAGGGTCTAAAAACCAACTGTCAAGGGCAGCCTGAACCAGTTTGAATCGTTTTGCTACATGAATGGTATGTCTTAAAAATTGTAGAACTGCAATATTGAAGAGGTAAATTATCTAAAAAGTGTAGCTACACGGGTCACTTTTGGCTGATTATGAATAATTAAGACTCACATCAAAATTAAATTTTTAAGACTCGCTTAATTTGTACTGGATAACGACATAATTTTTGTCTCGAAGAAAGCGCGCTTGAAAAGGTTGAAGAGCTTCACGGTGGTTCTTCCATATGCATTTTACGAACCGCTGATCTTTACGGATCCAGTGACAAGAAAAACAATTTAGAGCTTCGGACCGATGGCGATTTTAGCAGAATCGTGAACATGAATCGCTCGTTTCCGAGAACTACCGATGTCTTCCCAAGATTTAAAAAATATTGAAACTGGCGAAAACATTACAGGTTCCTTTTCATAGACATCACTCGGCTAATTCCACTTCTTATACACTCTGAGTTGAGTTAGAACTTGTAAATATTGCATTTTCAGCGTTTGTTTGTTTCTTTTGCTCATACTAGTACAGCTGCCAGCTTTCCATGGCAACGACCTCACGGAAGGACCTGGCATGGCTCCAAACAGGCTGGGAACGAAATCAGGGGTGTTCTAGTCAGATGAGACACTTTCGTAGTCCTGCGCCATCCCAGAAAGGAGCCAGTAAAAACTCAATTCTTCAATGTAACAAAATGTCAGTTAAAACCAAACAAGTGGATGATAAAGCAAGGCAAATACGCCTTAAATACGGAAAAAGTAACTTGGAAAGAGAGTTAATTAAAAAAAAGAGTGTCGTAATGACTCCTTTTGTCACAAAAGTTCAAATAAGAAAGACTCGTGAGCGAATCAAGCTGCCGAAATCAGCGGGGAGGACCTCGGAGAAAACGGGAGTTACCATTGAGACACCCCACATGTCCGACGATGAAAGCAATGCAGAAAATAACAGCTCGTCTAATTTGGAAACTGTTATAGCAATCGGAAAAGAGAAAAGAGAACAACACGCCATGTTGTCTGAAGATATTTATTCAATGCAAGGAAAGGATGATAAGCTTCAGGATGACTACGTGCAAAACCTCATCAAATGTTTGACTCGAAGATTACGGGATCCTTTCGAGGCATCTAGAAGCCAGATCCCACCGACTCGACCAATAGCAGCTTATGCTCGACCCACAAAGGGAGAAATAGCTTTAAGCGTAAAGGGCCCTGTGGTACTGGCACCCGTTTCAAAGGTTGTCATGACAACGGGGGAAAGAGACAGCCTAGACAGGTCAAACCGGTTTCACACGAGATCACTTCCCGAGTTTGCAGGCTCAAGGACTGAGAGAGCCCACACTCGCCCAATCTCCTCTGTCAGCGACAGCGTTGTTGTTACGGGAAAGAAACTAAACAATGTTAATCGAGTATGGCTTGAGTGCGAACACGCACAGAACAACACGTTTAACCCGGATAGTCCTCTCTGTTCTTTATGCAGAAATGTGAGTAGCTCAAACTCGGATACGAGCACCACGCACGAACGCGCCAAGAGTGCACTGCCTCGAGGAGCCATACGAAAAATTAAAAACGATGAACGTCTTCCTCAGCTTAATATTGGGCAAACTCCGTCGCAATCACACAGAAAAGACGATGAAACTCACAGTGCGAGCCTCAAAAGAAACCAACGAGCGCGTAATGGAATGGTATCTCCCTTTGAACTTCAAGTCCATCTTAAAGAACTGACTTTTTATGATTACGGGTCACCAGTCCCTCCGCCTTCAATGTCTAACTCGGACGATGAGGAGGACAATCCATGATGATCAAAAGACTTGAACGTGCTTTCCCTTTTGTTAATCCTTTGTATGGCGACTTTTGTAACCGGGGTCACTTCTACAGCACTGTAACTCTCACGGGTAAAAAGCCTAGATGTAATCCTTTCAGAATCAAAAATTGTATCTGTAATATGTGTTGAGAAAATGCTGAACAACTCATCAACTTCAAGGTGATATCCCGATATGAAACAAAATCAATTGGAATGACGACAAAAAATGCATAGCAACTGAAAGGGAAAAATTCAAATCAGATCTGAGAATACAAGCTTTGAGTTTGAAAAAAAAAATACAGATAGATCCACAGAAATAGTCATGAACAAAATATATGAACAAAAATTATAATGAAGAAAAATTGAGACTATATTAGCGAATGACGAAATGTGTCGATGTGTATAAAACAGATGAGTTATAATACTCCTCATGAACTCCAGTTTTCAAGACGGTTTTTAGTATGGCAGAACACGCTAAAATTTATTGGTATTCTTAAAATAAAACTAACGACTCCCCTGAAGTGCATTTGTATAATGTAGTGATGTTTGAACTGAGTATTGAACGTTTGCGATAAAGTTTGTTAATACTTGAGAAAATATTGAAGTGAGTGAAGGCCTATGCTATTGAGACACACGGCAGAAATTCAAACTCAGGTTGGAAATCAAGCAACATTTCAACAGAGAATACACCTCGTAGCTCATGATCAGTTGACCCTCTTAGATTCTGGGACGAACAGGTTCGAATCCCGTTGTAGCCTTAATTTTGTCAGGCTTCTTCTGTTTCAGCAATTCCTTAAATTCCAGCTTAACAGTTCCCCTCACGCCCGCTTCGACTCCCTCATCGACCCTCTCGCCTAGCGGTGCATGTATACGTACATTTGTCATTAGGGTGACTGCCAACCTGAATATTTATTCTTAAGTTCATGGTTTAAATGGCAAAACGTTTGCGCGAATACAACCAAATCTCTGAAAATCTCGAATTTTTTTTTACAAACGATACAGAAAAAGGAAAAAGAGGCGCCAGGCCCATTAAAATCAAGGAAAAATGAATGTTTGAAGTTCAATATCTTTGAAACTGAAGCCATAACGGCTCGATTTTGAGTGTGAGGCCTGGAAAACTGGCTCTAGAACACGATTGTTAACCTTTGTGTTTCCGAGGAGTTTTAAAATTATTATACCAGATACTCCATATGTTCGACCCGGTTTTCTACGTGGGCGTCGAAACATCTCGAAGCAGTGAGCTGTTTACCGCGCCATTAACAACATTGTATTTTTTGAGATAACCGCTCAGCTATTTCTCGCCCTAGTGATCAATTTATTGAAATGAAAGCTCTTGAAACTGAAATATTCTCAAGAGAACGTTTACTCTGATTTTTCTTTCAGAGAATTTGCCGAGGAATGACAAATCGGGTAGCTTCCTAAGTTCGTTTTCACATTTGACTGATTGAAAACGGTCTCCATTTTTAATGTCTGACTTGATATATTCTAATTAGCTTGAAAAAATATGTAGAACAACGAAACAACAGTGAAAGAACTGAAGTAAACAAGAACAAAACCAATGTCGATAGCCATGCAGGTGATTAATTTGTGAAAGCTAATTATATTTTCCACCTTTTCTGGCGACATGATTAAAAGTCTGTTTCGCAGGTTCGCGGGAATTGAACCAGTTTTTGCGCACAAACATTAAAAGCTATCTTTAAGATGGCCCGTTTTTTTAAACTCGTCGTCGAAAGTTTAGAATAAAAGTAGAAAACAAAGGTTATTAACGCATATTTGTCAATAAACGCTAAATCAGTTTTACTCCAGAGGGGAATTTCTGTGTTATTTCCATCTTAAAAATGCCCTAAAAAAATACTACGTTTATTCAAAAAATTTAAAGCGTCGAACATTATTGTTTGCTGCCGGTTTATTTTGGCGTTTTTGATTGATCTGTTTTCACGATCATGTCAAGAATGCATTTTTTACTGAGAGATGCCGAAAAAGGGAAAGAAATATAGATTCGTAAACAGCCGGCCTGAGTTGCGTGTTAACTGGCGTCTCGCTGCGCTGAGTGCATGGTTTGCTGCCGGGGTTATTGACATGTTATTGACATGTTTGACAACTACCTGAGTGCATGGTTTGCTGCCGGGGTTATTGACATGTTTGACAACAGCCTGAGAACACGGTATAAAAAAAGGTGCTTGGTTAAAGCTTCACAAGTACCAGGTTTGTCAAGACCAAAAGGTAAGCGAGATTTAGCTATTGATTTATCAGAATATTAATCGTTCGGTGAACTTCCGATTCGTCTTATGTGTCTCATTATATTGTGGACTTCATGATCAGATGAAAACAACCACTCAACTTTTAAGTGATCGAAAGTAAATAAAGCTTTCTTTTAGTGAGTTTTATTTACCATTCGTATCGATGTGAAGTCGTGTTTATGTTGCCCGTACTTTTTTCCGTCGTATAAAAGAAAATCTTATTCAAATTTCTGTTATCGAAAATGATATATAAAAATGTGCACACTCTCAAATTGAACAAAACAACGAATTCAGAACTCACAAATAGACTTGAAAGCATACTTGAGATTTTATAAACTATTCAAATATATATCACCTGCACTAAAATGTTTATGAAACAAGTAATAATTTCTCAGCGGTGTGCCTGATTTTTACGAATAAACTTGAGTTGAATCTCAACAACACGACATATTACACAACAAGAGCAAGACAGAGCTGAGAGTCATCTCAACGTAACCACACAAAATCAGACTTACTCTTCTGTTTATTTCTTCTACTCACTGGTGGTAAATTGTCCCGTGTAACTGGATCATGTTAATGTAAGTTTTTAAAATTAGAAATGCAAATCGTTAGCTTATAAATGAGGAATCATGCTCCAGCAAGATCTATCTACAAAACTTTGGGTCAAAACAAGTTACAACAACCAGATACCCAATTTATATCGGAGTCCGGCAGTTAGTTTAATGCTGTTACTCATTTCACTTGCATTTTCTCCCTGGCATTAAATTCCCCGTTGAACCGTAGACATTTTTGTTTAGGTTGCAGGTCAAAAATAAAAGCAAAGAAGGAGAGTGAGAAAATAGTAATCCTATCCGAGTTTCAAACAGTTAAACAGGCTACAAGAACCAAATGATTTAGCGAAAGAAAAACATTCTCTAAAAATCACTTGAGAAGAAAGCGAAAGATTTAGAAGCAGTTCGACTCATTACCTCGTGATTTGTTAATAAAAACCTTCGAAATGCGCGAGAGAAACATTTTGCCCTTTTTAGGCGAGAAAATGAATGATTACAAGAAATCGTCGCAGGGAATTAAAGTACTTGATTCAATTCCTGAGAGCGACATTGGGGCCTCTAGTCGTCTTCCCCGTTTCTGTTATAACAAGAGTGTCAGCGAATGCAAAAAGCAAGGATTAGAGCACAAAACTGAGAAGTGGTCTAAGAGCCCGTCAAACGGCGTGAATCTTCCCAAGTTAGAGAACAGATCCCCCGCCGCTCCTCATCTTGAAAGAACGATAGGTTCACCCAACCCAACTGGTTTTTTAAACGTGGCAAACATTCCTTTCTCTCCACGTGAAAACACCGGCGATAAATTTAAAAAGGAACCAGGCATCAATTGCGAAGACTATGTCATGTATGAACCAGCATGTACAGCTGCTAACTTGGCGACGACGAATATCGAGCTCTCTCGGTACGCTTTCCGCTCGTCTCTGGAAAGAATACCTGAGACTGATGGAGAAAGATTCTTAAGCGCCCATTCCAAGGAGAAATTGCACAGCGCCGATGTAGAGAATAAAGAACCTAACACATCAGAGAGAAAAACAAGTAAGAGGAGAGAAACCCAACCTAGTAGTTTGAAAAACGTCGATCTCTTCCACCAACAAAGACAACACTTGGCTCGTAAAGGTCCACCCA